GTCCGGAGCTAAAATTTTGAACCGGGTCAAAAATTCATTGAAAGGCTTCCTAGTAGGATATCCAGCGCAACTAATTCTAATGGCTTCCATGACTCCCTGAGATCAGATACAGGAAGTTTCACAACATCATCAGAAAGCAGAATACAGTTGCAAAATTGAAAGGTTCTCTGAAACGGCAAAAGCTTACCCCACACCTAAGTTGATGCAGAATATTAATGTTCTCAAAGATTTCTGGCTTGAGAAGGTTATTTGGTTTAACGCATCGTATGTAGTGTGGCTCCGTGGTGCTCAAACTCTCGAGCAAAGATTGCAGTTGTTGCTGTATTTTATTAAATGGTGAGAATCAAAGTAGATACTATAAGCAGGATCAGTTGTAACTTCACATTACTTCAGACCTTAAACTGAGAACCTATTGATGAAAACTTTGATGTTTTGGAAGATTCCTCTGGCAAAGGTGGAAACAGAGATGAGACGAAAGAACAATCTGAAGAGCTCAGGAGAGCTTGATGTTCTCCAACAACATAATCTTTGTTCTTGTCCAAAAAAAGTTCTGTCTGATAAGTGACCTGGAATTAAACAAGAAGACAGTCATTGGACCAAGGTAATTTTGCCATTACATCAAAGACAAGCATTTATGAAGATCACTAACATCACCAGCATAGTGGCAAATTGTAAAGTCTGTTTGAGCCAATTTTGGCTTTGCAAAACGCGTGTGGTCTTTAAAAGTTTGGTATAGCTTTTGTGCAAATGTATCATGTGTTGATCTTGGAAACATACTGTAGAAGCAAACAGAATCCCAATCATTTTTTTCTGAAAACAAATGAAAGAAGCAACTAACAAACATGACCTTTTTACATTACCAAGCCTCGTCTAGAAGAGCAATGATACCACCAGGTTTCTGGCATGAAAAAAACTGTACATCAGATACTCAAACCCGATAAACTAACAGTATAACACTAGGCGTGAGGAACACCGATCATAACTTCCAACATGACACATTGTGTGCTACTAACCTTTTCAATAAGATCAAGAACATCCTGATTATCAATGAACTCTATGTAACTCCAGTCAATCTCTTCTTTAGTATATTCTTCTTGCTCCATCTTGAACACGTGCTGTAGAGAAGAGGTAGGTATGTGTGAATATGGGTTAGCCGAAAAACAGAACAATCTATTGTCAGTGTCCAACCTGGTTGAAATGTTGTTGCAGCTTCTCATTTGTCAAATTTATACAAAATTGTTCAAAACTGCAAATCACCCGTGAAAATGATAAGACTATGTTAGAATTATCAAAAGAATTATAACCAAACAGCCAAACCACAGAACAGCAAGGAAGGACCAATAACCAGAATAACCATATTGTTCCAAATCACAAGAAAGCTCTTAGCTAAACAACTGAACTATAAGTAAGAAACGATCAGCTCAATTTCTAAAGAAACTTAAGTAGAGATCATAAATGTAGGAAGACATGTAAGAATTCAATTATCAGTTCCAGAGATTTAGCATATCAGCAAAAACAAAGGCATACCGGTTAAGCACCTGTTTGTCTTGAAACTCTCGAATCCATAAATATCAAGAACTCCAATAATGTGTTTTGAATTTGGGTCTTGGCCGATGGAATTATTGATCTTGGTCACGAGCCTGTAAGCAAGAAAATTGAGAACATTTTTGCCTAGAAACCCCAAGAATATAATTAAATCCTCAAGAAAGATTTAGTAAGCCTTAACCTACCAATCAAACAATTTAAAATAGACAATTTTGGCTAGTGCATCTCTGCCTAGAGCTGCACTATCAGGATCAAGCGACTTTGTAATGCTTTCATCACGAGTCACCATGACCCTTTTGCACAAGGAATCTTCTAAAGCTTTCTCATCACACCTGCAACAAAGAGCAAGTCAAGACTCGAATTCTGTTTGATCAGACTGTCGTTTATCTGAGAAAACAAGAGTAGTTAAGCATTTACATGAAAAGTTCTGCAGCCACTTTTAGATGGAACCGTGAGTTTTCGTCCTTCGGTTCTGAAGCTTCTGAATCTTCACCCTTTGCAAACTCGATGTTTCCTAGATGAAGGATTGCAGCCACTACGCGGAATATTGCATCCTGCAATAGTAGAATGTAAGAAGAATTGTTCCTGTGACTCGGCATGTAAATAAACAACTAAAAGAAAGTACCTGCTCTTCAGAATCGATCCCAACAACGTCCATAGCTTTCCTTGTAGCTAGGTATTCCTTTGAATCATCAAGCCCCTCCAACGCATAGCAATTAGACTGATTTAGATAGCGAAATGTGCTTGGTTTTCCTAATTTGTACCTCTCAGTTTCCTGAAACCTCATGCATACAATGTTTTAGTCAGCGTGAGACTCATGTAAGGTCAAGCATGGGACTAACAAGATCTCTATGATTTCGAGAACACCGCCATAGAAGAGATCAGGCTTACCTGTTCCGGAGCAGCGCAAAGCATGTAAAAGCAATGATAGTTTCTTTCAGGGTCAGAAACTTGACAAACCCGTGACCTCTCTAGCAAATATGTCCTGATTGCTGCTCCCGAGATTCTTCCCCTATGATCGAACTGAATCTCCACAAATTTACCAAAACGACTGCAACATGGGATTTACCAAAATATCTTAAATTAGTGTTTAAGAAAATACACAAAATGGACAAATCAACAAACGTGAGATTCATCTCCTCTACCTTGAATTATTGTTTCTAACTGTTTTTGCATTGCCAAAAGCTTCTAAAACTGGATTGGACTGCAGAACAGGAAAGTAAATCAGATAAAAGTATGACAAGATATTTCTGGAGGAAACTCACTAAGTCTAATCTTTTTCAAGAATTTAACCTTGTATTTAAGAAAACTACTTACCTCCAAAACTTGCTGCTCCACGGATCGTCCTTCACTCTCAGCTCTTCCACCCATGTACGCAAGATACCGCATGAGCATCTTTGTGCTCTCCGTCTTCCCAGCACCGCTTTCCCCACTCACCAAGATCGCCTGGCTCACTCCCTCGTTGATCATTTTCCTAAATGTTATATTTTGGTCATTGTAAGGCTGAAAAACAATTGATAGTGCAACAGTAATACATGCTAATTAACACAACAGAACAGTTACCTGTACGCAGAATCTGCAACCGCAAAAGGATGTGGACTCAACTCACCAAAAGCAGTGCCCTTATACTGTTTCATAGTCTCAATTCCGTAAAGGTGGGGCAATCTTTTAAAGGGATTCACAGCTATCAATATATTTCCTGTGTATGTCTGGATTCATGATGAAAAATTAGCTTGCAGAAACTGTCCAGACACCTTAAGATCACAGCCACAGGATGGTAATGCAACCAACACAAGTCCTTGCAATAAGAAAAAAGTGGACTAATAGCTGAAGCTTACATATATTTCATTTGCATTATATCGGCACTTTAGGTTGAGCAGAACCCCTGGTTCATGCAAATATGCAAGCTTTGTCATGTCGTCCACCCCAAGTTCAGGGAACTCGGGGTCCTTAGGGTAGACAGCATTTACCTTTGCCGCAACCTAAGAAAGAAAAACATCAGAAACATGAGTTTTTGGTATTAAGAACTAAAAAAATCTCAACTCTAAATCTTAAACAATGCATGATCATTTGGGACTCAGTTCAATTTTGGTATGAAGATCAAAAAGCTAAACTTTTTACTCAATAACAAATGTCCCCATATTAAGATATTATTTACTCCTTTGGTGTGTTATCTAACAACTTTCCCACTTTCTTTTGAGGAAATGGACATCAGGAAGATGAGGGAGGAGGCTTACCGTCTTTCCGGAGCAGTTTACTGTGATTTCTTCACTATTGGCTTCTTCTACTTCTCCATCTATCCAGGCTTCATCTGGATCCTCCAACCAGACATGAGACCCAACACTTACTTTGGCTGAAGCAGCCTGCACATAAATCAGCTCAGAAGTCAGAACCACACTATCAAAACAGGTACTCTGCGAAAAGAAAAGCGATGAGATTCATCCATAACAAAATCAATGTGATGAATTTCAGAGCTTTGTTTAATTTGCTTCCACTCATAAGGTTAAATCTGGAGGAAGTTTTTGTTGCTCTTCTTCATTTTTTTAGTA